CGTTTTCTCAGCCTTTCTCTACACGCTTTGGTCTTTCTTGATTAGCCGAAGCTGGCCTATTTGCTTTTCAACAATTTACCATAAGAACACTGGCCGCTTGGTTAAAACTGAAACAATTTTGCTGAACGTTTGAGCAACTCACTACTCAAGGGTTTCAAAAAAACTTTCCCACAGTCTAAGCAGTCGGAATATTTCTTCTACCTTTCTCTATGGGAAAAATATCGTCGGAATTTGGATTATAAAAGAATTGCAAAAAAACTACCAAAATCAATTAGCACTTAAAATGTTACCTCACTGGCCTTTGAAAATGAAGGAAAACTAGAAAATCATATTCATATGAGAAAACAGTCAAGGAACTTCGAATAGAATGCATTCGCAATATAAAACAGTCGAAGCAAATCGCAAAACTCGACGACTTGTTCCTTTTTCGGATTCAATCATTTAAAAAGTCTAGACCCGAATGGAGAAGTATTCTTCAGTCCTTAACTATGGAATCAAAGGGCTGCCTCATCCTCCGGTTTGGCCAGAACAACAACTGTTGTAGATGAATCGCATTATTGCATACTATCATAATTCATACTATCACCAATTCAGAAAAAATTTACCGGGTCGTATACAAAAAACTGTAAAAAATTACAGTAAAACTGTAAAACTGTAAAACTGTACATACGAAGGAAAAACTGCTTGGCTATTTTCGCACAATTGCGAACTGAAGATAATTGTTTCTTCTTTTGTTCTTTCACTGATTTTTAATTTCAAGTTTTGCTTGTGTATTGTTTTGAGAAAGGACATTTCTTTTTAGCCTCCCAAAGACTTGAGAAAACCCACTGTCTCGACACGCATTTGATAAATGCTGTTTCTAGCAGCTTAATCCCGGAACGATCGCTCCTCAGGTGGGACGCTAGGTTGAGACTAAGGGCTGGCAAACTCTTCAGACATTGCGTTGTTTGCTGTAAATTCAATAAAAAATGACAATTTTTTGATGATTCGAAAAGTTAGATTAACTTAATAGCTTAAATAGTCATATTTGAATAAATGTTAGATCAGATCAACTTTCTGGTCACAGTCATTCTCTTTTCCATATTTCTTTTAAATTCAGCCAATTAACCTGTTGCTAGCACCAATATTTTCAAGATTATTCTCGTTTTATCATTATTGGTTACTAAATTGAATCATGCCAGTCGGATTAGTTGCAAAAGTTTTTCCATAGTCTAAGCTATTGGCAATGTCTTTTCTGTCGAATACTAAAAAACCGCATTTAGCAGTGTTTTGGTTACTTTCTTTTGTTTCGCAAACTTTTTTTTTGAAAGCTTTGATGTTTACCGAGGCCATAGTTACAAATGAATTTCCAGTAAGTTTCACTTTGATCTAACCATTGGCAATAAACAAAGGTTAAATTGCAGCGGGATTATCGAATTTCGGGGTTATATGAGTGGAGGTTACAAAAAAGGGGATTGGAAAACGCTGGGTGATAGCTTGGGAATCGAGTTTTCTTCCGCCTATTTTTAAAAACCTCTTGGAAAGCTCGCCTAGTGTCAAGTACGGTAAAATAAGGATTTTACAAAATGTTTAACATACATAATTAAATTGGGCTCAATTCTGATTCCAAAAACTAATTAGGATATTTATCTTCTTGTTGATAAAAACTTGTCTGAGCATTTTTCGTTTTCTCATTAGGAAACTCAAAAATGTGCTAATGGGCTTGTTTTACACATCATTATTTCTTACCCGTTTTTTTGTTCAAATTAAAAAAATGCCACTTTGCCAATAATTTGAAGCCTATATTGCATTAATTGAAAAAATATAGTGAAAACATATTCAATTTGGAATAAATCTCCATCCAACTTGAAATTTATATTGCAGTAGTTGACAAATCGTACTAGTACTACTACTAATAATACTGACACCCAGTAACTCTTGTAAGTTTTATCTTGAAAAATACTAGAAAAAATGAAAAAAATAAATGGGAATTTTGCAAGATCGTGTCAAGAGTCTTGAAAGCTGTATAATCACAGCGCAAATTCTTGAAATGAAAAAAGATCATGAAGAATAATTATCGTTAAAAAAACCAAAAAATTACGCCAAACATTTTAAAGATTTTCTGAAATTTTGAAGATCTTATACGCCATGATCTATATAATCCGAGTTTTCATGAATATTCCAGGATGAGAGCGCTTGTGAACATTTTATGTTACACGTACAATTTATTTAATCAAAACAAACCAAAAGGATTAAAAATAGGCCTTGTTGTTCCGACTATTGAAATTGGCGTGCAACTTTGTCATCGCGTGTGTTTTAGTCTTATTTGTATTCCATGCAAAATTAGGTAACACAAATAATCATTAGAGTAGGTTAAAAGATACATCATGTTTAAGCACTTTCACTCGTGATTGGAACGACATTTCGCGTTTGAGTCTAATGTATGAGTTTTAGTCTAATTTTGAGTAAGTAAAGCATGCGACCAGGCTTCTTATACAGTTGCTGTAGTTTGGTTTTGCTGCAGTAAATTTTTTTGAAGTTTTCTGCGGAGTTTTTGGAACAAACAACCTCACAAACTCAAACTAATTTCCGCAAAAAATTCAGTTTTTTGTCTTTTCTTGCCACTTTTTGTTGCCCGATTTGCTTATACTGCGATTGTTGAATATGCCTAATTTCTAGATTTTTGTCCGATTGTTTCATCACACCACGCACAAAAAAAACATTACTCTGAAAAAATATGAGAAAACATTTTCAGGTATTTTTTCAAGAATATGGTCCGAATATTCTGTGCTTCTTGCACAGCAACCGGCCATCCTTGTTTAGTGTGCAAATCAATCATAAACAGTTCTGAGGAAGAAATCTGTGATACTTGATTCCTCTGGAACAATTTCAAACAAAAATCGATCGAGGTCAAAACCTAAGTCGAGCATTTACGATACAAAAGTTGAGCACTATCTATTTTTTTCTATTAAGTGATTAATTTGAAAAATTGACTTGGTTTCTCTATGAAAAGTTGAAAGAACAATCTGCTCAAAAAGACTCTATTACTGTGATGCACTGAGCAACATTCAATCGAGGTTAGATGTTTGCCGCATTCTAGAAATGTCAATCCTTATTGACTTTTCAATGATAGTCATCCCTTATTTAGCAATATGCCATAAATCAGTGCTGCAAATGTATTGATCGTGGATAAGTGGCCACTGATCAAGGTATGAACAGCGATGAATTTTTAAACTAAAGTGCAGGACCGAATCTGGGATAATTTACTGTGACGATGGCCATGATTCAGCAATGATTCAGAGATAATCAAGCGCTTACTTTAAATGCTTAACTGTGTCAGACATGATTCAGCGTTCATTCAAAGCTGGGATTTTAAGCGCTGTTTCAGAGATATTTCAGCGCCATTTCCGAAATTGAGCAAAACAGCGAGAATTATCTCTTAATTTATTTCATCGAAATTCTTTTATTTTGTTTTTAGAGTTTTAGTCTAATTTTGAGCAAGTAAAGCATGCGACCATGTTTATTATATAAAGTTGCTGCAGTTTAGTTTTGCTGCAGTAAATTTTTTTGAAGTTTTCTGAGGAGTTTTTAGAACAAACAACCTCACAAACTCAAACTAATTTCCGCAAAAAAAATTCAATTTGTTTTCTTTTCTACTTGCCATTTTTCTAACTCTATCTCAGCCTTCAAAAAGTGTTATAGGCTAGAGCAAAAACGAGCACAATTTCTTCAGTCGAGAAAATCGAGACAAGAACAGTCGAGACATAATTCATTTGGTCGAGACGATCAAAAAACATCTGAATCGATCGGGGCAAAATCGGGCAGTGTGTTGTTCTGTGGTCCAAAAATTACAAAACATACCGATATTTGGTCGAGACTGTCGATATATAAAAAGAGCACTTCGACCTGGGATGTAGCGTCTTTACTTTTTCAAGAACTTTAGCTTTGGCAAATCTTCAAGATTTATCAAGATCTTGACAAAGATGGCCAAGCTGTTTGGGCCTGTGACTTTTTCCGCACTTTTACCCGGGCTGAGGTGTTCGACTCATGGTCGAAAGGAGTCCGATTTACGCCGCAAATTGAGACGGTCGAATGAACACTATAGTCGAACAAAGTCGAATCATGAGTCGAATTGGGTCTCCTTTAATGGGCACATAGAAACACATACAGGATACCCAGCTTTGACTATACACTATTACAAAACTTGGTGATCACCCAGTTGCTCATATGTTATAACTGCTTCTCTAATTCATTTAAACTCAAAATAGGACACAAAGGTGGCTAGAATATCTGTGATGTGGTGCGACCACACCGCCTCTACTCATATTCACTCAATCATATCAACCCAATTCAACTCAACTAAGCACAAACACCACTATCTTTTACTTCTATATCTCTCTATTATGATTCTGGTCATGAAATGGCCGGATAATAGGGCTGACCACTAGAGATCCATATGGCTGGAGATACAGTCCTATGATTATATATGTACATCATGCTACACTACATTGAATTGAATTCTACAGCAAAGTTTGTTTCTCCGTTAGTCCAATGGTCAAACAATTAACTTGTATTCACTGCACCACACACTGCTCAAATGGGTCAAATGTAACACTTAATGTCAATTGCAGCTGAAGGGTCATATTGTTGCCTCTACTTTTGTAGTCTCAAAAAATATTCAATCATATTACGCAAACTTCATCTCTTTTTCCCAGCCCAAACTTCATAACTCCATATTCCATATTTATATTCGTTCTTAATTCATTTCATCGTCATCATATAGTAAAACACGTGAGTCATCTTAATTCTGTTTATAATTGTAAGCAGACCCTTTTATCAATTTCTCGTTATTTTATGCTGCAGATTTGTAATATACCCTACTTTTTATCACAAGTTATGAGTCCACGTCCATCGTCATGATCCACACTCCTCTGTCTCCCCTATTTGGGACAAATGATCATTCAGAAGCACCGAGCATATTTTGGTCTTTTATTCACTCTGGTATAACCGGCTGACAAGCATCGAGTGCCTTATCGCAACTACATCAAATTTGCCAGCCCCCGACAACCCAATTTGCCAGCCCCTCACTCTTTACCGCCGACCCAACGTCCTTTGTTTAATTTGAGGATTGCTAAAAATCTCAAGTCAAGCGCTGGGTTCAGTGACATAAAGTGTCAGTGCCGGAATATACAGCGGATCCAGAGCCACACTTTTTAAAGGTCATACAGATTCTTGTTAAACCACGTTTTTTCCAAACAATTTCCCCTTTTAGAAATACTTTAAAGACCCCTCCTGCTAATTCATACATCTCGGATTGAACTACATGGACCAATAAGACTATCCAAACAATTACATACAAAAAGTTACATGCGGGTCCTACTTAAATCTCAAAATAAAGTACAAAGTCGAATTTGTTGCAGATTATTTGAGTTGAGCCAACCGAGTTGTTCAACCAACAAAAATGCCCTACATCTTAAAAAATTTTAACGAGTTTGTAGATAATTTTGGACAAGCACAAGCTTAGTTCTAGGATAGTAACTTTTCCCAAAAATCAACGGAATTTTTCAAAAATTCAACCTTTTTTTTCAAATTTTCGAGCATAAAAATCTTTCAAGTTTTGATTATAATGCTTGTATTTCCAACAAAAAAATTCAAAAACACAATTTTGAAAGTTTTTTTTTCAAAAGTATCCTAGTTATACGTATTAAACGGTTCGAAATTAATTTGGAGACATTAGAATTTCAATTTTGACAAACTATGTCAAATAGTTTTGGACGTGTTGTATGTGGGGTTCACGTATATGTTGATAATATTTTTAGACATCAGCCAAAAACTAGCTCTGAAAAATTTTTGCGAGTAATTATTTATGGCATATGAGGTTCCGTTAGTGTACTCCGCCACAACGGATAACAGAGGAGTTTTCAAAAAGTAAACCTGAAGTAAAGTTTTGAAAAAATTTTGTTGGAAAAATTTCAATCTTTCATCTTTCAATTTTTGACAACTTTCTTAATCTTACAACAATTCAATGTTATAAGTTTTATTTAAAAAGTCCCTTTCTTGCTTCATTCTATGAACCTTAATTTTGCAAGAAGTCTTAGGGTTCTTATAACAAATGTTCTAAGATAGCGAGTCTTGGTCTTCCTGACCATTGAAACTTTGACAATCTGTATATCAAATTTACAACTTTTATTATACTTCTCTACGATGTTATCAGATAAGTCAATCAAAAAATACAAAGCAAGAAACTAGCATTTCTGAATTTTTTGACAAATGGATTGAGATAAATAATCGTTTGTCAGCGCCAAAATAGTTCTAAATTGTCAAACTTGTTTTCTGTAGCCAGTTAGCTCTCTTTTTTACCCATGGTTGACCAAAATAAGAATTTTTCAAATTTTTTGTATAAAATTTTCAAATTCTTTTAAGTTAAAGCTCTAAAAATTTCACAAGACAAGGATTTGTTCTACAAAACTTCTAAGACACTGGCTTTTTTAAAAGAGAAGTGTACGGTGAAATTTTGCTCAGACAAACTTTTCAAAATTATTTTTCATGATTTTTTCTTGAAACTTTCTTATTTCCAAAACAAAAAAAGAGAACATCAAAAAAAAAATAATGGCCCAAAATTAACAACACACTACATCAGGTGACCGATGTTACCACTAATTTGGCAGAGTTAATTGTTTGCTGATTACTATAACTGTTGAAAATAAATATCTGACGACCACGTACAAAACGTCCGAAATTAAATTACAGGTTTCCTCAAAATTGATTTTATTTTGTCTCCAAAATAATTTTGAACCAAAAATTTTTGAAGATTTTTTTACAACTCCGAATTTTTTTTTTGTATTGTCCATATTGAGTCTTGCTTCTTGTCATTTACAAAAATAAAAAAGACTGCTCGTATCAGGGCGAAGACCTGAATGTTACGACTGCCTTTTAAAGCTTTATGGAGCAGTCATAACATTAAAAATTTCAATTTTTAGAAAAAAAAATTCGTTTTTTTTTATACATTTAAATTTTTTTAAATAAAAATCATCCCCCCACAAGCCATATAAAGTACAAAAGGATAGGTTTTGCTCATTGTAACAAAACAATTATGGCAAATAAGCTTCTTTCAACCAATTTGGAACGATTTTAAGACGGATTAACTCTCCGCTTACGCGTTAATAGCGCGAAATATATCGCGCGTTAATTGTCCCAAATTGGCCAAAATGGCAATCTGTAAACCCCCATAACTTTATGAAAAAAGATCACAGGTGAAATATCTTTTCAATTTTGAGCTCAAGACAACAATACCTTTTGAATGATATAAAAACAATCCGTCACAAATGGCTAGTAAAAAGTCGAAATTTGTCTGAAGAAGAAAAAAACCCACCCCGAGCACAAATATTCCGTTACTTTCGTATCGAAAGTCGGAACAAAATATAAATTAAAACAATTATTTGAGCCAGTTTGTCTTCCTCAATTAATTTTGGTGTGATTGGAGTGAGAATTAGGTTGCCGATATCTCCTTAATAAACAACAAAGCTGCTTGAATATCAGGGCAAGGCCGTGAATGTTCCAACTGCTGTGTAAATGGTCTCAAACAGTTTCAAAGCGAAACCGAAACTTTTGATGTCTATAAGCTTCGAAATGTTTGTGAATTCTCTTCCAAAAGCCAACAGAATTTAGTCAAACGTTAGGTTTGAGTCATGTTAGCACTTTTCTGACCAAATAGTTTGCTTCAAATCAATCTAGTTCAATTTGGATCAACGTCTATTACTTCGATCGCCAAAAATGGTCGGAAAAAAATATATATAGGAAAAATTTTTTGTAATACTTTTATTGATGTTTCAAAATGTTGCACTTTAGATAATTATTGTTCGCCTTGTTTATACTTTATAATAATGTAAATACCAAGGTAATTTCAATGATTTTCTTGAGAGAGATGGAAGGATAAGCAAAAAAATTGAATTTCTGATGTTGAGCTCTCCCAAAGCACTATAAAGACCCTATTTTGACAAAATTTTCAGCGCAGCAGGCAAATTTTTGTAAATAAATTTCAAATTTTTATCGGTATTGCCCAAAAACTTTGAAGTGCCTGACCTAAAAAGAGTAGAAAAAAAAGTTGTGCCGATAAAAACGTCGAAAATTGTCAAAAAAGTTCCCCTGCACTCCATTGTTTGGCTACGCGACTAAGAACTGATTGATCCTCAGAAAGTAAAAGAAAATATAGGGCAATTTTATTTCTAGTGTCAACTTGCACTTGGACTGAAGTTTGTGAGCTTCAAAGATCATACCAAATTGACTGTATGGTGTAATTTTAGTGTAGTTTAGTGTATGTTTGATGATACAGGTAGGTTAGACAGCAATTGGCAGTAGCAGGTTGTTCTTTAATTAAGTCTACACTACAAACAAGTCCTTTAGTGTTCTCGCGGCTATTGCCAGGGACGATATTTTAAGAGGGATTAGTAAAGAAAAGGAGAAGGTATGGATATCACTTTACCGAGGCAGACGATTGTAATGCCGTCTTTTCTCTCTTTAATTCATCAACCACCTCTCAGATATCCCTCAACACCCCCCCCCCCCCCCGTAGACCCCAACCGCAGACTCCACACCGTTACAGACTTGAATCCCACACTTCACAGGTCTAATGAACAACAGCGCGGCGACAAAGAAGACTGACAAACTGCCGCCTCTGATCTGGTATATTGAGCCAGGCGTCAAACAGGGAATAAAGAATTACCAGAGACCTGTTTACCAGACCCAATTTGTAGATCTATACTCCAGAATAGATTCCAGCTCATAACTCTAAAGATTACGCTGTTGAGTGTACTGGAAACATTTGTGGTGCCGAAAAGCTCGTAAAAAGCCGGAAGTGCAAAAGCAAGCACGTGAAACAGAAAAAGAACTTGAAAAAAGAAGTATATAAAAATGAGCAGAAGATAATTATTAGTCCATTTTATCTATCGTCATTCAAGGGGAGAGAGACAAAAAGCATTCAAAAACCGCCTGTTTCTAAAAAAAAAATGCTCAAAACCTGTTCAAATTGCTCTTAATGAATCAATGTTTTCAGCATATTCTACCTTAGAGCTTCAAATTGGGCGTAAAATCTTGAGTAGTGGCAGAGAATCGACCAGATTCTCGTCCAGCTCTTGGTCTGGTTTGGTCGAATCGGGGGGAATCTAAGCTGGCAGATTTCCCCTCTTTTAGTGTTCATTATGTGATTTTTCGTCTAAGTGGTCCACCTGCTTCCAGTAGCACTACGAGTGTCCCTGACAAGTCAATATGCCACAAGGCGTTCCTACAGTGCTAGAAAGGTACACTGTTTACTGTGGAGCATTATTTTAATTTTTGGGTAAAGTTAAGACTAAATGGAATTATTTGATATTCCACTGCGCAGTTATAGCATAGAGTACCCTAGCAGTCATTGTTGACCAATCAGATCAGTTGGTGGTGTTGGTCGTGGTGAAGGTGCTGCTGGATATTTATGTTATTGTGTGAATAGTGTTTAATCCCCCTTCTGATACCAAATATCCTGTTTTCTTTTCAGATCTTCTCAAAATAACTGCAGAACCAGTGTTTGCTTCTATCCAGCACCAAACAAGCACTTACCATATTGAACAACTCATGGTGAACAGATACTACTGCACGTTACAGCCTACTACAAACCCAGCTGATCCGATTCGAGTCACGACCCCCACACATCCATCCCCAACCGTATAATCAACTAACTCACGCTCAAATTAACCCGCCAGCAGCACCACCGAAAATACACAGCTCAACACCTAACTTCAACCTTTTTCCCAAAACCCCTGTTCTTCAATTTATCAAATCAGCACCCGTTTGTCCGGTCGCTCGATCTATTGCAGTGAAGTTGGTGTTTTGTGTGGACTTTTGAGCCATAGCAGGTGTTCATAGTTGCTGTTTTAGAGGAAAAACAAACATACTTCTATCGCAGTTCAAATTATCCTTTATCTCATTATCATTATCATTTGGTATATGCTTTGGCGGCCATATAAACAGGCAATTATAAGAACAGCAGTGGTACACGTGGCTGCAAGTATGATAGTTGGGACAACATCCCTAGACAAAGCTAGTATGAAATTGGTTCCTGCTATTTTTATGAAAAAAAACACAAAGACGCGCATCTATGCCTATCCAATTACTGCTTACTCCGGGTTTTTTAGCCAGCATAAATGATTTTTAGGGATCGAATCACCCATTTATTTTTATGGACCCAACTATCATACTTGCAGCGGAACAAGCATGAAGTGGATGATTTCGTTATCTTACTGCATACCATGTCCAGCACAACTGCAACTGCAGCTACTTCTAATCATCGCCCAAACTCTGCTCTGCTCTGCTTCAGGTAAACACACTCAGTTTATGCATTTCTGCATCTAGTTTCAAAGACCCATCAATCATGCATCTTACGAGGTCTTAATTTTTCCTGTTTTCTATAATTTATAACTAAACTTCCACTTCCATTGTTTTTTTGTTCAGCTACAAAATTAGCAGGGGATTAAAAGCTAGAGGAATTTGAAGCGCCAAAAAAGCGCAGGCTTTTTTTCTCAGTTTTGTCTGAATACTCAGTTTTGCTGGCGATTTAGATTTAATGCATTTAATAGATGTAAGCAAAACCAAGATATACGTCGCTATGCAAGTAGCACAAAACGTTCCATCAAAGTTAACTATTTTTGTTCCGACTTTCGAAAAAAAACGGAATACTTATGCTCGGTGTGGTTTTTTTATTCGGTCCATTTTCATCGATCGAAATCATAATTTTCAATCAGCAAAAAATTTTTATACCCCATTGAAGATATTGACCTGAGTTCAAATGTAACAAGATATTTCACCTCCGATTATTTTTTTTAAAGTTCTAGGGGTTTGAAAATTTTCAAAATTGCCATGTTCTGGAAAAAATTATGCGCGCTTTGAAAAGTTTTTTCATAATGTTGAGAGCGTAACGCGATATATTTATGCGTGGCGAAATATCCCGCACAAGAAAATTGTTCCAAACTGAATTGAGGCTAGCTAATTTGTCGTTTTAATTTCGTACGACTAAAAATTTACACTTTGATATTGACTAAAATGTATAGGTTTTCAATATTTTTTTGCCCAAAAACTATTCGATATGAATTAAGAGACAGTCGGAATATTCAGGGCTTTGCCCTGATATACGAGTAGTCTTTTTAGTGTTTTTATTAGAGACGTAAGCTGGTTAATCAGCTAAAAGAATCAGTAACTAAATGTTTAGAAGTAAAAACTGTTTAAGATAACAGAAGAAATAGATCTAAGACTAAACCTGAAAAATCTGTCAAACTACTTTTCTCGACAATTAGACACTTTTTTTAAAAGTTTTGTGGAATCCCAATCACGAACAATAGGGCTTTAGTACCATACCTCACTTGACCTCCTACCAACTTTCTTGGAAATTGAAGAACTGGGAAGAAAAAAAGCAAGAATAGAAATTTGGTGTTCACGTAGTACAAGAAAAGTTGCATTTTTCAGTTGCATTTTTAAAAATAAATCTTGTGTATAAATTTACTGAGAAGTGACCAAATCCTTCGAAGTTGGACCCAAAACAAAAAGCTGAAAAACATCAAGCAATTGAATTACCAAACATGATTTGTTATGGAGTACGGGATGCGACTTGCATAGGTGAGTGCAAAAGTGAAGGTCACAAACAATTTTTGGTAAAGATTTTTAACAATGCAGACAGAAATATTTATATATTTATATATATATATATATATATATATATATATATATATATATATATATATATGAGTCTTATACAGGTTTTTATAACGTTTTTCTGTAATTAGTTGTACTTATAAGAAAACTTAATAGAGAAAAAAAAACAAATTAAAAAAGTAATGTTTTAATCCATTGAAAGTAAGAAGAAACTTTGCCTCTAATTTCCTTTTTTCATGCAAATCCCATTTTGCAAACTTTCACGACAATCAACGAACTTATAGTGGAAATTGTTGCAATGTATTTACAGATCAAAACTATTTTTTTTGCCAATTCGAACAATCATCTTCTGATTCTCATCAAACTTTCTAGCTCTCCTTTCTAATTATCATCCATTTGCTTGCTATTTGAAGATTACGTTATGTGATTGTTAAAACTACTTGGAAAATAACTGTTCGACTTTCAAAGAGATTAATGAATAATTCGGTCATAGATACACTTCAGACACTACTTTTGATGAGAATTTTTTATATCAACTGCAAGCTATTGATTTTCTGATAATAAGATTTTAAAAAAATTGTCTTGTGGTTATTTCTGACTGTTTAAGAATGGACAATTTGCTCAGTTGGGGAAATTTAACGCTCAGAGTTTTTTGTGCTAAAAGCGCGTAAACAGCAAAAACAAAAAAAGTATTAGACGATAACTTTATCATTTTATACTTAACAAAGCGTTTGGGATTTTGCAAGAAAAATAAAAATTTTTTTAATTTTTAGAAAACTTAAGTACATTGTTTACAATTCTCTTTTTATAGCCGTTAAAGAGTGGTTGAAAAATTGGCGGTTTTGCCTTGATATGAGAAGTTTAATCCTTACTGTTATTATCGTTAATATTTTTATATTAATATTATTATTATTATGATTATTATGATTATTATGATTATTATTATGATTATGATTAAAATTATTATCATTAATATTATTATTAGTTTCATTATCAACCTTTTTATGATTAATAATAGGCCTCTGAAAATGACTATCACTCTTAATGTTCCGACCACTCTCAAAAAGTGGTAAAAATCTAAAACTTACAGTCAGTTATGCTGGTTATTGCTTTTGTTTTCAAATTTTTGTCATTTTTTTTTCATTTTATTATTTTTTGTTGTTGTAGCTAAATGAGTCATTATAATACTAAAAAAATGTTCAGTCATATAAAGAAACAAACACTTTTGTACGAGCATTTTTTTTTACAAAAAAATGATTTGAAATTAGAAGATAATATTTCTCCGTATTTTTCCCTAAAAATAGACAACATTTGTTTTTTACAAGAACTTAAGAAATTGAGACAATGTAATATAAAAGGCACATTTTAGCAGCAGCAGCAGCGAATTTAAAGTTATGGCAGACGCCCCCATCATTCTCTTAGAGACTGGACCTTTCGGTAAAATTGTCACCCTCTATTTTGTCGCAAAAATCAATAAGTTAATCTTTGTAGTAAATTAAGCAATGTAGTCTCAATTTTGTAATTTTTAAATTTCAGACAAAATTACCTGTATACTCAATTTCCGGTCAACATTAAAGTTGTTCGACAAAGTTTTTGGACGCCCTTCCTGATTCTCACGGAAGCAACACAAACACCGCTAAACTGGTGCCTCCTTCGGTAGTATTTTACGACTTGCGTCTTCGGTTGACCGACTCTAAGATTTGCAGTGACGGCAGTGTATGCTAAAAATTACTTTATAGTGCTTTTGGAGAGCTCGGAAAATCAATTTGGTAAACCTGGAAAAAGTCGAAAAACATTCCTTCCCAACGCCGTCTTCCTGGAAACATAAGCCTTGGGTAATACTAAATCTGTGCCCATAGCGACAAATTGACTCACTGACAAGTTTACACAAGTATTAGGACGTTTTATTGTTTGTCTGTTTAATTTGTAAGCAAATGAATCAAAGTATCCTTATAAGGTTCTATTGTAAATCCATTGCAGGTGCTTCTAAACAACTGACTACAGGGCTCGATGATCGGACGGATCTTGTTAACTATTCCCCCCACCCCCTCCCCCCTATGGTACCTTTTAACGAATATCCCCCCTATAAAGAAAGAATCGAACAGTTAAACATTACGATTATTGTTCCGACTTTCGATACGAAAGTAACGGAATATTTGTGCTCGGGGTGGGTTTTTTTTTTCTTCAGACAAATTTCGACTTTTTAACTAGCCATTTTTGACGAAATTTTTTAATATCATTCGAAAGGTATTGTTGTCCTGGGCTCAAATTTGAAAAGATATTTCACCTGTGATCTTTTTTCGTAAAGTTATGAGGGTTTAAAGATTGCCATTTTGGCCATTTTGACCAATTTGGGACAATTAAAGCGCGATATAAAATACGCGTAAGCGGAGATTTAATCCGTCGTAGAAATCGTTCCAAATTGGTTAAAAGAAGCTTATATGCCATAATTGATTTGTTAATAGGCGCAAAATTTATCACTTTGTACTTGATATGACGTGTGGGGGGATGTTTTTACATAAAATCTCAAATTTTTTCAAAATTTTTTTAAAAGTTTTTTTTATTACACTGAAATTTTTCATCTTATTAATGCTCCATAGACATTGAAAGGCAGTCGGAACTTTCAGGGCTTCGCCCTGATACGAGCAGTCTTGTTTTGTACTTTGTTAACTATTTCCCCCTATTGCAATAGATAACAAGATCCGATCGGACATACCGATTGCACTATAGTTGAGTAATAAAATACTTGATTGGTTGTTGGTTGTTCGTTGGTCTTTCGTTTGTTCTTTTTTGGAGTAAATAGGCGACCAGTCCAGTCTGACCTATCCAGTTCAAATGTCTGTCTGTGTCTGTTTCTGAAGTTAGTCTTCCTTTTGACCAGATGTTGCTCCAGACTAATCCAGTGGCCCAGATTAACAGATTTCCACCTGTTATATGTGACACTTAAACCCGGGAGGAGCCTACAGTTTCGTGGTTGTATAATTTACTTTTACTACCACCGACCAAGTATTGTCTGTAGAAGCTTCAAATCACGCGCAGAAATGCTCAAAGACCCAGACAACAGGCTTTTTGTTTAAGCTAGCTTCAAAAACATCCTGGAAAAATTCTGTTAACACAAGGTATAGGCAAAGCGGTGGTCAGTCAATTAACAGAATGGTCTAAGAGCCGAATGGGTCCAAGAACAGAAAAACAGAAAAATATTAACTTTTAGAAGCTGATCGGTAAATTAAGTATATTAATAGGAATCGTCAATATTAACAAAGAAACTAATATTTCATGCATAATTTGAGTAATTTAATCAACTTGATGAAATTATTCAATTCATGAACAATTTATTTATTTTCTATTATTATTATCGGTTCCGATAATTGTTTCATCAATTTGCCCGTATTTATCAGTAAAAAATAATATTTTTCTGTTTTTCTGCTCTTGGACCCATTCTGCTCTTAGACCATTCTGCTTATTGCTCCGCCTCCAGGCAAAGCCGAGACGTGTCGAGAGAAGATTTTACATCTTTTTAGTGAGATGCTTAACTTGATTTAGATTTAGACAAGAAGTAATAAAACGCTCGGATAAGAAATTTAATTAAAAGAGCAAATTGAACCATTTCGGAAAAAAATTACTGCATGAAAAAATTAATTTTTAGACAAAATGCATGTCTGAAGGTTAACT